ACCACATCAACATGACTTAAACATATCCAGGGATGGTGATTCAGCCACTTCCCAGGGCAGCCAGACAGCCCTTTCAGTGAGAACCATTTCCTCTTGTCCTATCACAGGAGCTCCTTGTGCTGCTGCTGTGCAAATATTTAAGAATTTTATAGTCCTTTGAAAAGTCCTGTTCACATTCTCCACACATACATCAGAAGTTGTAAGAGGCACTCCCTCAGTATTTATGAAAATGATTTCATTTTACAGTGAGACTTTTCTCCAGAGTATAATGATGTGCTGTATTCAGAAGGGAAGTACTGCACTGGCTGGTTTGTTGACTTCAGGTGATGGGCAGGGCTATGTACTAACTCATCTTGTGTTCCTTGCATTCTGTGTTTTAACTCCAAACCCTGACCTTTCAATTCTTTGCCAGGGCAGACTCTGTAGCAACTTCTTCACAGTTGCAACTGTTTTAATATGAAAATAAGTTTGAATGTGTGTGCTCATTTTATAATCTGAGGAAAAACATTTATCAATTTTTTTTCAAGTTAACAATATCTGTTAAATTGTTACATTCTTAGAGAAACTGTTTAAAATTCTTAAAATAACTTATTTTTAATAAATAATTTTTGATATCTCAGCAGTGATGTGAATGATGCCAGATGCTTCTTTGTTTAAGCATTGCTCATTGAATTCCATGAATTTTGCCAGTCATTTGAGTCAGTATCTCTCATACTGCCAAGTGGTCAGCTGGTGTGTTGTACTGGAGGCTGGAGGAAGGGCATTTCTGTGTTTTTAAGATAAACTCTCTTATTGATTGTTTCCATAGACATGGTTATTGTTGTACCAGATCTGGCTGCAAACAAGCAGGGCAGAAGGCGGAGGTCAAAGATCGCTGCAGCTCCTGACTGACCTTTTTCAGTGATAGAAACTTCAGCCCTACTGAGCTTTAGATTTGGATCAACTCAAACAATAAAGTCTGAAGAAGGCAAAGATGAGTTTGTAGTAATTTGGAAGCATGGTAAACTTGATGTTCACCATAAAATTGCATTAGCATTATTTCTGCTGATAAGGTCACATTAACTGCCTGGGCAGCAGTGCTGCTGGGTGAATGCCTCCTGTCTTTATGTTGTGATCTTTTTCATGGGTGGGTGTCTTGGGAACAAAATTTTTCTCACTCATCTATTAAAAACTATATTCATATTGAGCAGGAATCAACATGAGGTACCTGCAGTCTAGGTCTTCTAGGAGGTCATTAGATGACCCAAATGGTCTTTATCACATTTTAATTTGTGAATATTGGTATCCAAAAAATTGCTTCATTCAGCTGTTTTATTGCCCATGTTCTCAAAGTTTTTCCCCTGTGGACCTGTAAGTTTCTCTGTTGCAAAAGTTTTTTTTCGGTTTTGCAGTCCTCTAACTAACCTAGATGGTGAGATGGCATTAGATAAGTACCAAAGAATGTTTCTGAATTCTCCAGATGAGTTGTAGAAATCTGAATGTGGCATGGATGCTGAAGTACAGCTGTTGAATTCTGCTGTAGTCTTGTGTCAGCATTTCCAAGTGCAGTCTAACTTAGCTGACTTTGTTCAGACTGAAATTCCATTTCTATCATTAGAAACAGAAGTTACATATAATGAAAATTAACCTTCAGAGTCAGTTGGGAGCCAAATTTATCTTCTGATTTGCAACAGTATTTATAAACATGCCCAGCTATTAGTTTTAAATGAATTTAAAGTGCTGGTGCCTTGCTAGTCTGCATTCTTGGGTGTTACTCCATCAAAATGGAATCAAGCTTGAAAATACAGCAGAAGTAGTTCTCTTAACACTTGTGTGCTCCTGAATTGCCAGATCTTTTGCAATATGTGGGAATTATTAGTGTTCAGGACACGCTTCTGCAAAGATCACATCATAGATTAATAAATATGCCACTACATTGTTGAAAATATGTGGAAATTAGTTACAAATAGTAATGAAAGAAGGTTTTGGTTGAGTCACTTAGGAGAAGATACTATAAAAAACTTGTCTAAGGATGATTGATATTTAAACTTCTAAAATAAATGTATGTATATATAAAAAATATGTATTTGTGTATGTCTGGCAAAGTTTTACCTTGACATACTATGTATGCAAGGTTAAGCAGCTGACCAAAGATTCTGGAACTATTTACTTAAAATATCAGCATCATTCTTTACAGTGAGGCACCTATCAATTGTTAAATAATTTTGAGGGCTAGGAAAAATAGAAACTGCTATATTTTCAGTTCTGCTTTTTATGTTTTTAGATGGATTTCTGGTAATTCTCTTTCAGGAAAACAGGTAATAGATTAGAATTTGGAAATAGACACAACACTTGAATTAATTACCTTAATTTACTCAGCTATTCATGCAAGAGTAGCAATAAATAAAAAGCAGGAAGGAGGAGAGAGAATTCTCATAAAATACTTAAAATAGAGCAGCTCTGCTGGCTTTATACAGAGGTAATTTTCAAGCAATTTAAAAATATCTCCTGAAGCCACAGATTTCCTGTTTTCATTCTGGAAAGAGGAAGAGCATCTTTTACCTCCTCTGTAGTCAGGTCTTGGCTTTTTTGACTAGCTGGAGCTGCATGACAGTTGATGAATCTAGCAGTACACAGCTGAAGGAGTCTGGGGTAGTCGTTGCCAAGCTGCTGGCTCTTTCTCCTGGCGAGTACCTGATTTACACTCTGTGCTCAGGCAGAAGTCATGGGCCATTAGGACAAAATAACATCTCCTGTTATCAGTGAAAAGTTCTGTCCTTGACTCGAGTCAAATGAAAAGGTTCATGTGTTGAGCTTGGCTTCTGCAGGAGTTCTGGTATTTGTGGGTTTGTCTTCTTGGGAGCTTCCTCTTCTGTTGTAACTAAAAAGCCATCCAGGGCTTTAACCTCAGCCAGGATTAACAGTGTGGGTTTAGTCTTCATGAGTTCAGGAACCTTTTATAGATTTTTTTTTTTTTCACCAACCCCAGCATGGAGGTAAGTATGAATGGCAGTAGCTGAGTGTTGCTAATAGAAAGATCACAAATAGCAGAAGCAACTTATCTGGAGCACGGGAGTTATGCTCCATATCCTAAAGAGAACTTTTCACAAGACTTAGCGTGAAATAGTGATACTACAGTTCTTTGCAACAGGCTTGTGCAGTTTCTTGCACATTTTGGTTTTGTCTATTGCTTCTGCTGGCATGAAAAATTCTTAATCTATTTCTGATAACATTGTGTCAAATGCTGAGAATTTAGGGGGGAAAATAATCCACCTGTGAACACAGGGCCTCCTGGAAAGAGAACCGTAGCCTCACGTTTTCATGACTGTATTTATTTGTTTTATTAAAAAGGTTTCTTCTTTCTGCAGACTATGTTGATGTTCATTAATGACCTCTGGAAGGTGGCCTTTCTGCCATCAGCACTCTGTTGCAGGCATGTAAGCTCTCCATAAAGGAGTACAACACTCCTGCTACACAAATGCTGCTGCCTCAGGCCCCCTCAATTTATTTGCTATTATAGAAGAAAAAAAAAACCCAACGTGAGTTCTCTCTTGAGCTGTACCTCAAGCTAAGTATTAAATTCACTGACTTTCATGATGTACACATTGGTAGGGGAATGAAGGAGGAGGAAAGTCAGATTTAAAGCAAAATAAAACATGGAGTTATCAATAGTGTTTGTTGTTTGGTTTTGTTGAAGGTTTTTTTTTTTTGTTAAAAGGTAAACTTCTCAGGAAGAGAACTCAACACTCAGAAAATAATGCTGTCTGCAGTCATATTTAATGACAAGAATCTCCATCTTCTAAACATGGGTGGCAGAGGACTTCTGCTTGGTTTCTCTGAGGCATTTTTTCTTTCTGAGCATCCTTCACTTTCCCATTTAAATCATGGTGGTTTATCAGTACGGAACTAACTTTAGCTCAGACAAAATTAGTTTAAGATCAGTGTAATTTCAGCTGTTCAAATGGAAAGACTAACGTTTAAAGAGAAGTGTGAACTTCTTGAAGGACTGTTCTTTTATCAAGGACTGAAACTAATGCTGATGGGTTAAGGGAAAACAACTCTAACATTCTGATGTGATGTTTCTCAGTATCCTTTCTATATTAAACTGACAAGAGATGAGGGAATTGCTCGAGTCAGTAGTGACCTATACTTAACAAGGTCTTATTTTCTATTCTTAAAATGCCACAAAATTAGGAGTTTCATTATATCAAGTGTTCAGCATCCTATTGCAATGGTGAAGTTCTTCTATTCAAGTGGTGTCAGGTGTTAAAGTAATATTATTAAAGACTAAAAATGTTTTATAAGCAGTGGAATGTGAATGTAATCACTTACCAGATGTCTTTGATGGATTATTTGTTGAACCATTCAATAATGCTGGGAAAAAAATCCTAGGTCTTATTTATGAATGCACTTTAGCTAGCTCATTCATTTTAAACAGGCATATTTTACTGTTGGAAAAATCTACAAATCTGTGCTGCTTTAAGCATTTTGCTGTAACTCAGATTAGCTATTCTGCATTTTCCAGAAGTGTCATTAGATATCACAGAGTTAGCTCAGAAAAGCAAACCAGAACGTATTCATTACAAAACCAAAAGTATTTATTGTCTAGGAGTTAATCAGTTAATCTAGGTTAGCCATACATACATCTGGAAAGCTGAATTTAGTCTTGGAATGTGATCAGAGTAAGTTTATTCTCCTCTGGATCATGTAATACAAACTTTTTAGGAATTATGGGCAGGGATGAAGAGTATATTCCCATCAGGGAGGAAGAAGTATCAGTCTAAGGACACTAGTTCCATTCACTGTAGGATGCTGTTGGACCTGACAGTAAAATGCTGTTTGCAGTAATAGCTTCATCTTGTTAGTGATCTGATCAATTTTACTTTGAAGAGGAACCGTGTATGAAAATTTTACTCCTTTTTACTCAGCATTTCCATTCCTCAGGGATAAAACTGTTGAAGATGGTTCATTACCTGACACAAATGTGTATTTTTTGTTTGGTTGGTTTTTTTTTGTGTCTGTCAAAAGCAACAGTACTATGAGAACGTAGCTAAGTTCTATCCTCCATACTCAGCACTCCAGCTTTCAGAGTGAAAATGTAACTGCAGATTGAAACCATGAGACCATCACAGCAATGAGCAGCAAGAGCAATCCTCCATCCCTAGCAAGTTGCCCCATGGTGTACCTGCCTGGCTTTGGTCCACATCCCTGTGATTGAAACCACTCCACCACTTCATTCAGGCTGTACTGCCTAGGCTCATACCCCAGCTCCCTCCTGGCCTTCTCCAGACTGAAATAGTGTGTGACACCAGTTTTGTAAACCTCTGTGCGAGTGAGGAGAGGCTGAAAATTATACACACGTCCCACAAGAAAATGAACTGCTTCAGTAAGGAATGCAAAAAAATAGACAAGGGAGAGAGGAAGGCGGCAAGTTGGGAACTTGTAACCCAAACCTTCCACTAACGGTCGGAAAAATTCAAAGTTATTGACAGGCCTGCCATCAGAAATAAAATAGGCTTGGCCTGCAGCTATGTGCTTTTTGGTGGCTTTGAGGGCCTCAGAGGCAAGGATGTGAGCCTGAACCAGGTTGTCTACATGTACAAACTCTACCAAACTACGAGGATCTCCATATACAAATTTAAACAGTCCCCTTTCAATGTAGCTAACTATTCTTGGAAGGTGTCTTTGTTCTCCAGGCCCATAGATGCCTGCTGGCCTGAGAGCACAAGTCCTTAATACACCCTTCCCGTTTCCAAGCTCGGCACCGTTTGCCTCCAGCACCTTCATTTCAGCTAAAGATTTGGTGCGGGAATAGTGATCTGGATGCAGGTGAAGAGGTAGATAAGGCAGAGATTCATCCCCATTTTCTATGATCTGGCCTCCAAATACCACATTATATGTACTTGTATAAACCAGACTCGACACCCCTGTGCTCTTGCAGGCTTGGATGACATTTTCTGTTCCTTTCACATTAACATCTTCTATGAGTTTTCGGTTCAGCTGCTCCCTGCCAGACATTCCATAGGAAGCAATATGGAATACACAGATTACATCTCTAAGAGCCTCTTCCACGTCAGACAGGCAACAGACATCCCCTTCCATGAACCTCATTCCCTCTGGCACGGCTTGAAGTGGCTTCACGACATCAAAGAGAATCACATCAACTCCCTTTTGGTGCATGGCACAACCTAAACTAAAGCGTGACAGAAACCATATGTTAGTACACACAGCCTAATAAAGCATGAAACAGTTCACCTGGAGGTAAGAGAAGACTATTAACTATCTATTTATTTTTTTCTAATTTCTGATGGGAATCTTTTAAATATTCAGCCATAGGGAAGATTCAACTGTGATAGTTTATGTACTGAACTAATCTCTTGGTCTCCATGAATATTCTGGAGGAAAAAAAAAAAAGCAGAAATGCTGTAAGCAAACTCAGAAGAGAAACAGCAGAAGTGCTTTCAGCAACCTTTTGGATTTCTCTGCTTCTGTCTACAGATCAGCAACAGCAAACCTTTCAGGTGTAAACCTGTAGCCAAATACTGGGAAAAAATCTTACTGGTTTTATTTTACTGTGTTTGTACTATCTCAGGTCTGTCAGGACCATAGCTTGATCTTTGCCACTGTGTTTTAAATTTATGGAGAAGACAAATGAGTAAGATGCTCCCAAGATGAATATTTAGCTGCATGTCTACGTCTTACTGCACAGATACAAACGCAGGTATTGACACAAACTACAAACCTGGTATTTCTCTCCCCCCTTCCTATAACTTTTATTTCTATAGTACTTAAAGGGGTAGACAGAAGAGGAAAGAAACTGAGCAGAAGTCAGATAGGTATCTCCTGAGGGTTTTTCTCCCCATTTAAAATTTACTTTTTGGTCATGACTGCAATCCCTCTCACCTGTGTAACCAGTCCATGACTCTGAACATACTCTAGAAGATAGTCTAGGGCTCAGAATAGGGTTTTTTTTTCTTTACATGGTTTAGAGCCATTTACAGTAAGAGGAGATGGATTTCACTTAAATCTATACCTTACTTAACAACTGTAATCCTAGACTCCTAGACCATTAATGGCCATAAAAATATATTCCTGTGAATAAAGAGCAGCTGGAGGAGCTAATCTATACAGCTAAGCACATGCTATTTGTAAGTCATGGCCTAATGTCAAAAGAAAGATCTGCATACAAGTGTAGGCTTGCTCTTGAGAGCAGGCTGAAAGATGGTGATCTAAAAGCCCATTACAAAGGTGACCAGACAGGTAAATGTCTGCAAGCCAGCTGATGATTGACATTTGGAAACACAACATAATCACCTGAAACATTTTGAAACAGAAAAACACGTTTGCTTAAAACTGAGCCCCCAGCTAAGATGGGGTGAATGGGACCAGGCATTTCAGGCCGTTCTCTCTTTTACAGATGGGTTTTGTTGCCTCGCCAGCAGCACTCTATTAATGTAATAACTATTTAATGCACTAACCGGAAGCCAAAATAACCACCTCCTCCAGTAATGAGCACTGTTTCCTTGGCAGTATTTTCTGGTTCCATCTTCTTTCTTTTGGCACTATTTAAGGAAATTGACCTATAAAAGACATGGTAAAAACGCACGTTACAGCCGATCTGAGTTTAGTATCCCCACACAGTTATTCACAGACCTATTCCACGTTTTAATTGAAGCCCTTCAGTTCACCATCTGCTCAGCAAGGCAGAACCACATCCCGCCCCGCTGTTCCTCAAGAGAGGCTGCAGTCGGAGAAACGCC